GAATAACTGGTAGCACAAGTCATTGAGGATTTGACTGGATCTTTCCCCACCGTAAAAACCATGATGATTTTCCCTCCGGCGTCAGCTCCTTGGGCAGGTGGCGCAGCTGAACTAGAAAAAATGGCAGCTTTCTCCGCTAGGTGTAGGTACATGCTTTTGTGACCATTGAACGCGTGGGTGAAAGTGATAAGCGGTGAGTCGAAGACATCTGGTGTTTTGACTCTTCCACACTTCTGAAACTGTGTGGGGTCTTCTCCTTGAAAATCGAGGACTTTTCTGATAGCCTTAGTGACAATTAGCGTGCCAGCATCTTCGTCAGCTGAAAAACCTCTATTGTGTTTAGCTTCATATTTTATCTTCAGCAGTTTGATGCATCTTAATTTGTTTTATCGTGGGATATTTAATTTTCTTGGAAAATATTAGGAGTGGTTGTTGCCTCAGATTAGGAGAAGAATGTGCTTGAGCTCGGTGATTAGTTAATATCTCTTTCCGTTTTTTTGGTCCGGTTCTGTTGGGTATAGCTATGTTCTGACCTTACCGTGCCTCGAGATATTTTACATAGTGAGCAGCTATGAACTCAAACAAAGAGTGATTGGGTCACACCACTTTTTGGAGAAGATTATCTCCCTTTTCAACCACAAATTTAGTTTTTCTTCATGGCCCTGTTCAATATTTCAATGCTGCATAAAATGAGTACTAATTGCCCTTCCTCATTCCACAATTACAATATAGCCATCGGCCGTTTCTTTAAGTTTGTGTTCGTTACGAATTAAGAGTATTGCTAGTGGTGTGTAATAGGACCAATAAACGCGAGCAAATTACACTTACTGTTCGATTTTTTCAACAAAAACGAAAACGACTTAAAAACGAGTTCCAAGGATTTAAATTGTGACCAGTGTGAAGCTTGAGCCGAACCTGAGGGAAAACTAACAGCGAATGATCTTGGGGGGAAGAAATTCAAGAGAATATCTCCTCCTTAAAAAGCGCTGAAAATTTACAACGTGGCACTATGGCGATATAAAATTCGTCATACAATTATAAAAACTGATAGAAATACTCAAACTCGTGTGGTTCTTAATTGCTCTCAAAACGCACTCTGACTACGCGCAATTGGGACAAGCCCACACCAAAAACGTTGTATATGGTGCATACTAACAATTTTTTTCCCTATCAAGGTGCAGGGTCGTATAAATACAATCCATTCCGCAAAGACCAGGTTGATTTTTATTGAAATTACTATATTTTTATATGTCTAATTTTATTTAAAATTATTTTTGCAAAATATTATATAGGTATACGTTTTTTTTTATTATACCTGAATCACAATCTCCGTTTTAAACACTCAAATGCGTGCGAAAAAGGGCCTTTAAAACACACGTGCTTTAAAGTTGCTAAGTAACGATACTTCAAGTATGACTTTTGAAACTGTCATCTGGATGAAATAAAAAATCCTCTTAGGTCGCTTTCTGTAAATGCAGAACATTTCTTTGGCTTTTGTACCTATCCTTTGGTTGAAGCTTTCACAAACGCGCGTAATTTAGGGTATGCTTCCAAATCTGTTCCACTTTTTAATCGCAGCATTGCTTTAAAGTTTTGAATGAATGCACCAAAATATAGAAGATTTAAATACCTTTGACATTTCCTTCATATATGCCAGCATTATGGATGCATTTAAGACTGTATTCGTAAGTAACTTCCTATTCATCCATGGAAACAACTTTTCATATTCTTTATAATAGGCTTTACTGGAGTTGGATTTTACACCTACCAACGTTTGTTTAGATTTTACAACAATCGATTTAATGGACGGTGTATTATCTTTTTCAACGGAAATCGTTTAATTCACAAAGACGATGATTTTTATAAGCAAACGTCAAGTGACATTTCCATGGCAATCGTGAAATTACGAACACCCAGCCCACTTAATTAGACATGTATTCGAGTATAACGTCAATATGATTTCATTGTATTTCCTATTTTTAAATTATACTGCAGGTATAATAAAAAATACTATAAGATACACGTGTATAATTGGTCTTTAAAGCACTTGCAACGTTAAAGGCACTCCGCTTTGCGTCGTGCCCTTAAACTCGTTGCGCGTGCTTTAAAGACTTGATTATACACTTGTATCTTAATATACTATTTAAACTAGCAAAGAAATTGAATACCATGAAGGATTTCAATTAACCCAATATCAGGTGAATTTACCGCCCAGTTAACAGCTCAGTAAGGGTAGTGCTTGATGGGGTAGCTGTTTATTTTCTAGAGATGGCACATACGTAGTGCTTCCTCATACACGTAGAAATTTTTGTAAGGAATGTAGCTACGTTTGTAAAATTGCAAGTTAAATTTAGATTTGATTGGTTAACGGGAAGATTTATAAATATAGTGTATATATACAGGGTGTTTATTCAATTTAGGGTATCTTCAAGGTTTTGTGTACATATGTAGTTACAGTGCTACGGAACTTTCCACATTTATTTTAAATCTTAACACTACCAGGAAGGAGACTTCAAAACTCAATTCCAATTTTTGTTATCGGCTTGTGCGATGGGTCGAGGGAATTCGTTTCTTTTACGTGGGGGATGTAAAATATTTGTTCTTGTATTTCCATAATATTTTAATAAATAGGAATTGATGATCCTTTTGTTAAAAGAGAGGAGTTTCAAATGGTCTTGATTGAGGTGTATAAAATTAGCACTTCGAGATTGCTTTTTCCTTGTTTAGTTTAGAGCCCTGTAAAGTAACAATGGGGACGTTATTGTAGAAGACAGTGAAGATGAAGCTTCCCGTACTACTCGGTTGCTACAGAAGCCGCTCTTTACGGGATCCGATTTGGTGTTTACACGAGTTTAGTTTACCCCTAGATTCACATACACCCGACTACAGTGCCTCCTATCCGTGACCACCCACTTTGTATTGAAAGCATAGAGCTAATAGCAGTCCATGTACTGTATGGCCTGGCCTAAGATGACAAATCACTCCTCCTTACATTCACACCGCAGGTCAGTTATTGTATCACTCAAACATTTTTGTATAAAAGGAAAATCCTTCTACTTTAACAGACATTCTTCCTGTCATATTCCTGACGTGTTCCTTCGATCTTGATTTCCAGACTTATTCCTGAAAACTGAAATTATATATCCGATTGCCGTTCATTCATCTCATACCGTGTTCCGATTATTCTGTTCATCCCAGATTGTCAAACAACCATTACCGCCGCCGTCGAAGATCGGAAGCTTAAGACTAGTGGGGCCTCTGACCTGCATGGATTCAGTTTGCGATTCCTTGAATTCGTTTCGACGTCTTGGGTGATACTGTGGTAGTGGCTACATCTAGTGTACGATTCACATTTTGAATACATACCACCCTGATCATTTAATTTTAATACCGATTCGTTTGATGTATGTACTGACTTGTTTGTAACTAACATTTTCTCCGTGAATGAAGCAGTCACGGGGGTGGTAAAAACTGTAGTAAAAATTGAGCTACGACACCTAATTCCGTGATCGTATTCGCCTTACAACTGTAGGCTCGAAACCCCGAAACCAGGGGCGGGTTACCTATCTTGCAGGAGCGGGATTACGCTAATCAAAGTTCTTCAGTTTAGAATCTATGTGCGATAAATGAGTGGGGATTCAATAATTTCCACATATCTTGTTTTTAGTTAAATTTGTCTACAAGGCCATGTAATTTTCCATCTTGCTTTTAACAAAAGGACTTTATTGCACCAAAGATGAGTCATATTCTGTGTATTTGACCCTTTCTTAGAATCTTGGTACCTGCTTACCTGACCCATAGGAAATATGCCTGAGACAGCATAGTTGATGAGATGGCTACTATTTCAGAATTCCTTTCAAATTTTCCGCCTTTAAAATTCTCAAACCATAAAGTGTGAGTCATGTTCTGCGTAAATCCCATAACGGCCAGGCATCTTCATCGCAATTTGGGCGCATTTGACTAAAGTGACTGTGCGTGAATATTTGCTTACGTGAGATATATCTGTAAAAATCTCGTTCATCAAATAAATATAAGGTGGGTTCGAAATTATGTATAGTTGCATATGGTTTTAAGAAACTTACTGACACTTTATTGTGTCTTGTAAGAATGTTTTTGTTTTTGTGTAACTAAAATTAAACGAACATGCAATTTGGGGTGAGACGGCATACAACATCAATGGGTGAGTTGGCATACATATGCCGTCTCACCAACAAGCAGTAGCTACCAAATAGGTAGTTAGTTAGATCATAGTTTTCTAGATATCCCGTTAATTTTTAGACATGGGGCGCTATAAAAGACAATCATCAAGACATTCTTGGGATGAGGGGGGATGAAGCAAGCCATAGTTGCCGTTCGTGAAAAAAAATGGGTTGGCTCTTAGCGTCAAAAACGTTTAACGTTCCCTTCACAACACTTATGCGTCGCGCTGCCAAAGGTTGGAAGAAAGACTACATGGGAGGCCATAGAGTGACGTTCAATGAAGATTCGGAAAGAGAAATAGTCCAACACTTAAGAAATTTAGAATCCCGATTTTTTGGTTTAACTGCAAAAGATGTGAGAAGCCTAGCTTATCAGATAGCTGAAACTAAGAAAATACCCCACAGATTTTCATCCTCTAAGAAAATGCGCGGTTGGGATTGGCTAAGGGGGTTTAGGCAACGAAACCCAACTATATCACTTAGAACTCCTGAGTCTACATCGGCTGCTAGGGCCAGTGCTTTCAACAGAGAGCAAATTAAAAAATATTTCAAAAAGTTGGCCGAAGTATTAGACACATATAAATTTGAACCAAACGATATATGGAATGTGGACGAGTCTGGCTTCTCTACTGTTCCCTCTCGAAATAGTAAAATTTTCGCTACAAAGGGGAGAAAGCAGGTTGGGATTCTCACTGTGCTGAACGGGGACAACACTTTACGGTCGCGTGTTGCATGACTGTCATAGGCACATTCGTACCACCGGCTATTATTTTTCCAAGGAAGAATATGAAGTATGAATTAATGGATGGTGCTCCTACAGGTTCGGTAGGTTTCGCACAGGAAAATGGTTGGATGAACGGAGAGGTTTTTTTGAAATGGATGAAACATTTCATCAAATTTGCAAAACCAACTGCGGAAAAGAGGGTGCTGCTCCTCTTGGATGGCCATAGCAGCCATAAAAACCTGGATGTTTTGTTGCTCGCGAAGGAGTCTGGAGTTGTGATGTTCTGTTTCCCACCACATTGCACCCACAGGGTGCAGCCACTTGATGTCAGCTTCTACGGACCACTAACCACATTTTACAACCAAGAGTTAAATAACTGGTTGAGAAACCACCCAGGACGAACTGTCACTCATTTTCAGGTAACTAACATATTTAATGAAGCTTATGTTAAAGCGGCTACTGCTAAAAATGCCCAAAATGGATATTCTGCCACGGGAATATTTCCGTATAATCCAGATATATTCCCAGACCATATGTTTGCTCCTGCAGAGGTCACTAATGTTCCTGAGAGAGAAGAACACTCCATAAATGTGACAGATGATGGCGACCAATCTGGATCTGGTGAAGTAGGAGCTGGAACCTCTCATGAAGAACTTCCTAAAGATATTGACAAAGATATCATGAATATTTCAGTTGAAGATATATTACCGTTGCCAGTTACTACACAAACTACTCGAAAGGTCAACAAAAGAAGAGGAAAGTACGGATTTTTGAATAGTACACCCGAAATAAAAGCAGTAAAAGATCTAGTCGCAGAAAAGGCTGCCGAAGCTTTGCGAAAATCTGCAAAGGCTGCTAAGAGACGTGTTCTTGTTGAAGGAGATGTACAGAACAAAAATGAAATTCCTGACAAACCCTTGAGAAGATCTGGTAGAGCTGTTCAGAAACATATTGTTGTAGGAAATGAAGATGCGGAAGAAAGTAGCGAAGAAGATCCTTTTGCCGGAGAGGATGCCGAGAATGATGTATCGTGTATATACTGCAATGATTTGTATTCTCGTTCCCGTTCAAATGAATTGTGGGTGCAATGCCAAGAATGTAGGCAGTGGTGCCACGCAGAGTGTGCTGGTGCAGAAAAAAAATTTAAAACATTCATTTGTGATATTTGTAAAGCCTAAAATGTATCTATGCCATCTCATCCATAAGCGTATGGGTGAGATGGCACTCGTAAGATTTATTTTATGTAACCATAACACCTGTTAGAAGTAATAAAACTTAAATTTTGAATGTAGGTACATATATTGAGATCACATATCGTACTTCTTATTTCAATGTCTACAAAAGTTTAATATTAAAAAAAAACAAATGTATAGTCTATTCAAAAAAAGTATGCCGTCTCAGGCATACTTCCCCTAATTCCTAAAACTTTTTTTAAACCTATATGTTACCGCTTGAAGTTTACCTGCTACTTTTTGTGATGTTATAATTTTATGTTACGTATTCACATCATTACAAACAATTAATTTTACAACACAATTTGATATTAATTTGACGGCTATTTCTATTTTTATTCGGTGAACTACCATTTTCAAAGTTTATTTTTGCACTGTAATTTATTTCGACTTAAATTTCCGAGCATTCACAATCTTAATAATTGCGATCATTATTAAACAAACTTTTCACAATTTAAGTGTTTTATTTTACGTTCTTTCCCTATTGTGCTTCAGGTCAAAGCGTTGTCTACAACTAACGTAAGGGTGTCCTGCCTTAGCTGTTTTATCACGTGCCACTTTTCAAATTTAAGCGGGTTCTTGTTCAGTTTTGGAGGGAATAGTCATTCGGGTGGCCATTTTGAAACGTTACCGGGTTGACTTTATTTCCGTGTTCTTATAGTGTGAAGTTAGTGTAGAACCTGGAGGTTAAGTACACTACAAGATAGAATTATTAAATTGACTTACAGGAGTTAAAGTCTTCGTTATTATTTAATATTAGAAGCACAAACTATAACGCTGACAAGACGTTAATCGTAAAAAATACCTCAAGTGAAAATATATGAAATTAAGATAGAATGACAAAAATAAAGATTAAATAGCCGTTTCGATCCCCTAAGTCGGCAAGTGTAACATGATAATTTGTTTATTAAAAAAACACAAAATAATTGAACAAAACCTAGGTAAATGGTGCTTTGAATTAATCGCGATCCTAAAGGATTTATAGATTATTTGAACGTATTGAATTTACGTATTAGTAGGCCAATGAAGTACAAACGCGGAATGCATATAATTGAATGTTAACTTCAATTGTCCTGACAAATTTGTAAAAGCCTCATCTACATACAATCCCTTGTGAAGTCCTGGATAGTATAAATTCGCTAAAATAACTGTATTAATATTCGCCGCATTTTCTCTATAAGCGAATATTTCGTCACAAAGTAAACTGACATACAAATTCGAAATTCGTTTGCTTTACGAACGTAAAACAATTAAGATTTCAATTTACTTATGATTTTAGAGCGTTTACATTTAGTAAGTACAATTCGTGCAGACGTCTCAAAATGCCTCGCCTCTATTTACACTTAATACATATCTGACCGTGTGAACGAATATGGATGTGCTAAAACAATATTCATTAAATGACTATGCATATCTTTAACCTTGTCTTTAAGGGGTGTGTCTGATAGAAATCTTTTCAATGCAACTCACTTTATTGCACCTTTCCGTCTATGTGAATTTTCTACGCACGTATTGTAGGTAAGCATAAAGATGCGCCTCGAGATTAATATAAACATTAATTTGATGAGTAAGTCAATCGTTTAGAATAAGAAATTCCGAATTATAGGAACTTCTGAAAGATATTACCGTAATAAAAGTATATAAAATAACATTATAAGTACGCACCTGCAAATTTTTATGTTAATTAAAATTTAGTATGATAATATTTACCTGTTAAAGATGGTTACTACAGAAATACAACGTCGCGTATCCATTCATTTCGAAGATAAGATCTTCAATGTCGGTAATGCGACTTCGGGCTCCTATGCAATCGCATAAGCTTTGATTAAACTGATCATTTATAATAAACTAATAGATTACAGGCCGCGTGAGTTATTTTAATGTCCTTCTGTTGTCTCCATTATTTACTAGAAAACTAGAAACAACGGCACACGAAACTCGATTAATTATAGTCCTCGATCTAATGCATCTCTACCGATCTTCCATGGACGTAGCACAGATACAACCTAGTTATCCAGTTGGACATTTTTGCAAATTTTACGTCGATATCTAATTGGCCCTCGAATGTTAATTGTATTTAGCGACCTCCTCTACTACAGTGTGAAAAATGACCAAAATCTGTGTAAAGAAGAATGATGGTCAACAATTATTCTCCTAACCTCCCACATTATTATCGGAGTGCTGGTGTTTCAAAAGTTGGCACTTGGGACCGTTTGAACAAGGGCTAAGGATCTCTTTTTAAAAGTAGTCCGTCCATCAAGCATAAGTACCTGGGTACAAAAAACACAATAGAACTACGTTCCAGATTTTTCAAATAAGGAAACTGTACCAAGCCCCTGAAACAGCTAAGTAAACATACAGGGAGATCAATAATCATATGCTGCGCCGCTCTTATAAAATATCACATTAGTAATCATTTGCCGCAGCCTGGTATATGTGTACCAATACTAAACAATAAACATAACCTATAATTCAATCCTCCTTTCGCTCGTTTACGTATTTTCCTGCACACTCTTCTCTTCCTATTACTTTCTCCCTTTCCAAAACAGCCTTTTTCAAGACTACCAGTTTCTTTCGAATATTTACAAGGTGGGTAAATGACTTTTTGAATTGTAAATAAACGTTTTTTTTATTGTAGCGTGTAATAGGTGTTCTCTGACATGCCTTTTACGTTAGAAGAGAATAAGATGCTTTTGCAGTCCTATTTCCGTAATGGGACTAAAGACGAAAATGGAGTTTGGGTGTACTCGATCCGTTTGTGTATAACGGAGTTTCGAGAAACTTATCCGAACAATAATGAAGATTACAACAATATACGTCGAAATGTTCATCGTGTACTTGAACGGTTTAACAATACGGGGAGTGTTGCTTCTGGGAAGTCACCTGGCCGCCCAGTGATTGCCAATGAGGAGGTTGTAGAAGATGTTCGTGCTCGACTTGAACAAAGTCCCAAAAAGCCGTTGCGACAATTGGCCCAACAAACAGGCTTCTCAAGAACGTGTCACACTATTGTCCGGAGAAAATTGCACTTTTACCCTTCGACTTACAAGAACTACATCGTCCAGACTTGCAAACCCGTGTAAATTATTGCAATTGGTTTAATGCAAATTTACGAGATAACAACATATTGGACAAGACTTATTTTTCTGACGAAGCATGGTTTCATTTAAGTGGCTATGTGAATTCGCAAAACTATCGTACCAGAAAATCCACATAATCAGGAAGCTCCACTTCATCCTCTTAAAGTAGGCTAGCGATGTCGAGGAGGCGGATTTTGGGACCGATATTCTTCAACGACACTGTTAATGCGGAACGTTATCGTGGGATGTTGCAAGTGTTCATCGATCAACTTCACGATGATGAATTGCAAGAAGGTTTTTTCCAACATGACAACGCAAGTACACATACAGCTGCCGCGACAATACAATTCGTACAGGAGTACTTTGATGATCGAATGATCGGAAGGAACCTCTGGCCTCCAAGATCACCTGACTTAACTCCCTTGGACTACTTTTTATTTGGTCACCTGAAAAACGTGATATATCAAAACCGTTTGCACACGATTGCCGAATTACGAGCAGCTACAGAAGCTGCTGTTCAGAATATCACGCAACAGCAGTTACACGCCGTCTTCGAAAACATGAAGAAACGAGTGGATGCCTGTCTTAACAGTGGTGGCGATCACTTCGAACAGTTTTTATAGTGTGCTAATTTACACAATTACATTGTTATTAACAAGTTGTACAAGAAATAAAACCATGTCAATTTTTGTATTAATTTGCTATTTGTGTAATTTTGCATAATTTGTAAATTAAAAAGTTTAAACTGTTGATTGAAATTAAACGTCAAAACATGTGCATTTTGAATTTTAAGGTTATGTTTTAGTATTGGTGCACTATCGCGCGTGTTGCGGCAAATGATTACTAACGTCACTATTAATTGAAGCGGCGCAGCAACTCAATATTGATCGCACTGTACAATACATTGAAATATCACTTCGCATGTAACAATAATTACATTCTTAGTAACCCTTACAACTGGGTTTCCCTCCTGATTTTTAGGAGTGCAATTGGTAGGATGTGGGTTCCCGTGCCTGTGGATTCGCTGGATCGGCGGGCGGAGTATCATCGTCTCCAAACTCGAGAGTATAGTAACACTTAAAATCTAAATTGTTTTCATTACTTCATACATAAATGGACAGGGTTGCACCTCCAAAGTTAAATAGAATGGAATTTTAGTTTTTGAAAGTTTTTGGAAAACTGACAAAGCTACCTTGTTGCATTTAATTGGTTTTCTATGACTTCCCTAAAAATGAAGTCACAACGGATAATTTAGAGGCGTGATGTAGTACCCGTGCGTAACGGAAAAAATTAGGATAGATCATGTACGTTTGGAAGTGATAATTATCTACAAATGTCAAAACTGTTGTTGGGTTTTGTCAGTGGCGTAACCTATCACGATTTCACGGCTTCAGTATTTTATGAAAACTTGCTTTTAGCTTACTGAAAATAGTTCCATTTGGTTTCTTCAATGCTTTACTATACATAAATACTTAGTTGTGCGATAATGAAGATGGGTGGAAAAGGCTGTTGAGAGACTGGGGAATCACACTGGAACAAGATGGTGGGATGGTGGTTCTGGAAGGTAGCAATAACGAAAATAGTCATCCAAATGGGTCAGGTTACGGGGTTGCTCAGGAAAACTGAAAATGGTGAAGAAAGGGTGGAGAGAACACATAAAACTGACAATGTGAGAGTATTATACTATAATGTGGCTGAAATGAAATCAAAATTAATTTATAAGGTCTTCAATGATTTTTTGAGTAGTCACAGGGGGTCATGCAGTAAATTGGGGGTTATTATTGAGCGATTCCAGAGTTTCAAAAGATGTAATTGTAACAGAGGAGGAGAGAAGATTCTTAAGTTTCTGCGGTGATTGTGACTTAC